CCCCTCCCCCCCCCCCCCCTCCAATGCGTGTCTTCTTTGCCGCGCGTTACCTACCGGCAGGAGGGCAACGACGTCCTCCAGGCGATCGCGTGCTACCGGAAGGCCCTGTCGCTGAGGCCCGACTTCCCGGACGCTTTCGCCAACCTCGTGCACTCGCTCGTGTTCGTGTGCGACTGGTCCAACCGAGACAACGACTTTGCTGCCCTCAAGAAGATGCTGGCCACGCAGGTGGGGTGACAACAGACGGTGCGATGGGCGTGGGTGCCATTCCGCTGCTACTGCTGCGAGAGCAACATGTGTGGGCGGTTGTTGGTTTTGTGGTCGGGAGGGCTCTTCGTCTTTTCCTTTCTCGTGCGCATTCTTGGTGAGTTTTTCGTTGTTGTTTGTGGTTGTGGTCTCCAGCTCGATGTATAGGAAGCACACTTTCTGTCCTTGCGGCCGGATCCGAGCGCTCGACATCTCTATGCTGCACGACATCTCTGAGCTGTTCGGTCGTGCTGTTTCTTTATCGCCTTCTGCTTTGCTCAAGGCAGCGGTCTCAGGCGTTGACCCAACGCTCGCCTTCCTCCTGCTTTTTTTGCCACTTGTGCTCATTCCTTTCCACCGCTGTCTGCGCTGTCGGTGTATCTTGCCCCCCTCTTTCTCTTGTTCTGCGTTCCCTGACACGGCAGTGTCGTCGATGTAATTTGGATGTGATTGAATGTCGCCACGCCTTGGTGTGTAACCAACCCTGTTGCCCGGCCCGTGCCTTGGTCTGCATCGGTGGATGTCGATCTTGCCGACGTATCTCAGATGGCAACGGAGAATGTGCTCCCGTCGGTGCAGCCCTTCCACGCCATGGCCTACCCGCTCTCCCTGGCGGAGATGCAGCAGGTGCAGTACATCCATACATTCAAACATACATTCGTTCTAAATGCCTCCAAGTACCATGTTCTTGTAGCGTTTGACGGCCTCTGCTCTGTCGTGGGCCTGTCTTTTTCGGGTCTACGCTCATTACTCCGCTTCCTGTCGTTCTTTCGGCTCCCCGGCGGGAATAATGTAGCCGGCAGGACCCGAGAGTCTCGCGCCACGCGATGCGCTGTGTCAGCAGCGGCAGGCGATGTTGCGGCGTGCTGTCACCTCCCTCCGTTTGCGTGAAAAAAGGGTCAGCTGATCATGAAGTATGTAGAAGCACAACAAAATATGCATGAACCGAAGCGGAAATCAAATCCTTGATTTCAAGCGATTTTCCAACGCCCGCAGCTCCTGACACAGCGCACCGCGTGGCGTCCTGTCGGCTACATTTAGGGTGCTTTTTTTTAGTCCTTTTCCGTTACACAATAGACGTCACGTTCCGCCAATGGCACCAAGCCTAGCGCTTAGCACGGCCACACAAGCCCCTCTGCGCGGTGAAAGTGAAGGTCTTGCGTGTGGAGCGTCTGTTGGTCCTACACAGAGCCCGTTCTTGTGTGCTGTGTGAAGGCCTGCATTTGTGCACCTTCGTCAGGGTGGGGTGGCGCGGGTAACAGCTTTGGGGCTGCTGTGACTTGACTGCGCGGAAACGTTCTCCCTCGATCCCTCGCCCTCGTTCCTCCACGCCCTGACACGAATGCAAATGAAATCAGCTCATCAACAAAACCAAACCGCGATGGCATACACCAACCCACATGGAGACACGCGCTACAAGACTGGGGCCTTTTCATCGGTCAGCCGGTTAGCGCGGTCGACTCAAATTGGAAAACGCACCCATGTCCAAAAGGCAAAAGCAATAAAGGGCAAAGACGTCTTCTTCGAGGTTGCTTTTGCCCCCACGCTTCTATCCAATCATTTCGTTGTCCAACCGCGTGATTTTATTCGTCTGGCCTTGTCGCATGCATGCTTCGGGGGCTGGCGGCGACAGATCAGCTGCAAGTACGCCGAGCGCGTGAAGATGAACGTTGCCCTCCTCGAGATGCCTGCCTTCCGATTCCACCGCAAAGCCAAGGAAGCTAGAATCAGGTGGGTGCTCTCCATTTGAAATTGTCGGGAGGTTTTGGAGCGGGGGATTGGTGTAGGCGACATATTATTGTGTTCAGAGAACATGTAGAACCACCGGTATGTAGGTGACGTACGTCCACTCACTATGAATATTCCGTCGCTGCTTTATCCTGGACTCTTTATCTGTGGATAGAAATGAACTTGTTATTGTTTTACTAACAGTCTTGATTTTTTGAAACCACGTTAAGGAGGACCTACCCACCCCCGAGGAAGTAGTCAAGGCGTTGCCACCCATGTGTGGGAGTCTTGGCCACGACTTCGGCGATGCCTGCGGAAAAAGGGACTTGCTGGCAAGCGTGGAAAGCCCTTGCGTTGAACGTTTCCCAAGTAGCGCTCGAGTAGAGGGACTGCAAGACATCGTTGTGTTTTGGGAGCTGTGATGTGTAGCCGGTACCGTGAGTACTGCTGCCGGTTGTAGTGAATGCCATCAGCAGAGTGTTACCTTGATGGCGTTGTGTTTGTCGTTATGGAATACCACAAGCTCTCGACAGGAAACTATCCAGATGTTTTTATGTAAAGGTTGGATGTATATTTTATGCGTTTCTGTCTTTTTTCCTGTCAGGATTGGATACGTTAGCAGCGACCTGGGCAACCACCCTTTGAGCCACCTGATGCAGAGCGTGTTCGGCATGCACGACAGGACGCGTTTCGAGGTGAGGCTATAGGTCGGTCGTAGCCACGCCCGGGGGAGGATTTCTTGTGCAACTCTATCCGAGTTTGCTATCAAGTGTTGGGCATAGTTATTTCGGAGTGTTCTGCTGCTGTTTGTCGTTGGTGTTGCTGTTGCTGTTGAACTCCGGGCGAGGTTCCTATGCAAGTCACGTGTTAGGGTGTATTTTGGTACATAACTGCTGCTGTTCTTGTTCGTGCCGGGGGTTTGTTGTTGTTGTGATCGTTAATATTGTCGTTGTGTCCAATCGGCACACGTTGGTTGGAGGGTTCGTTTTTCGGCCCCTGTCGCCTTCGATGCCTTACAGCCCCATGCCCCAAGTTCCGTCTCGTCTTCTTGGACACTTTTCCGTGATGTCTCATGATCCTGTCATCTACTGTCTCCCTTGGATCACGTCATCTTTGTTCCCCACATGATCTACTAGCTCTTCAGCTTTGTGCCTTCAATCCAATAACAAGCTAGGTCGCCATGTGTCTTCTAACTAGATAAAACCTGCCTCGTACCAAATGTCTCCCCCACTTTTATTTTTTTGTTTTCCGCAGGTGAAATGCTACGCTCTCTCGGCGAACGACGACAGCGTATGGCGGCGAAAGATTGAGGGCGAGTCGGAGCACTTCTGCGACGTGTCCGGGCTGCAGGTGCCATGATTGGGGGCTAGGCATGGTTTCATTCCATGATTTGTTCATTGGCGTCACCGTGCGCAGCCTGTGTGTATATTCATGGTATGCGGATGCATACACCTCTTTCTCCAACCATCGACAGTGTTTCTTCGGATTCCGTGACTGGTTGGTTTTGTGTTGATATGTATGTAAGCGTAGCTCACTCACCGCTGGTGGTGTGCGATATTCAATCGTACACCACATCACAGCCGCCTTTGACGTTGTTGTCTTTTTCTCAGGCAATCACTTCCTCATGTTGCAGTTTTCTGTCCGTTTTTTTTTTGTGTCGCGAAATTTTGACGCGCTGATCGCGCACATTGTTGTTTTTTGTTTGCATTTCGCTGGCGCTTTATGACCTCTCGTCGGGGACAGTCCTGTTGGTTCTATGATTCATCTGACGGATGTACGTATGCGTGTCGCTATAGCATCGCCGATAATGACGCGTCGCGTCGCGCTCCACCTGCCCGCACTAGCTCGCTGGTACTCTTTTTTTTTTTTTTTTTCATTTTCACGGTCGCTTTTTTTTTTTTTTACTTCAAATCAGCGCCCACAGCACGCTCATACAATTATGGAATCTATCTGAACCCGGAGCACTGGTTATTTGTCGTGATGCTTGCTGCAGAATGGCGATGTTGCCAGGCTGATACACGCGGACGGGATCGACATTCTCATCAACCTCAACGGGTACACGAAGGGCGCTAGAAACGAGATATTTGCCCTTCAGCCGGCACCGCTACAGGTGGGCTTGTTTGTCTTGGTCAATACATGGTTGCTGTTGTTTGTTTGTGTTTGTGTTTGTTGTGTGTATCGATTGCCCGCATCGGCTGGCAGGTGAAAAAAGGCGTCAGATGTCGCCCCGCGCGGCTGAGAGTAGAAAATGCTTCCGAAGGCCATGATCTGGAACCCGGTGAGGGATCGCCGTCGTGGGGGCTAAGTTTCCTCTCCGGATTAGACACAGGACCGGTTACAACAGAAGAAGACCTCACGTGTGTGTACCAAGGCTACTGCTGTGCGCTCGTGTTTGTTTGGGGCCCCTTGGCATGTTGCTGCCGCACTCAGCGTCCTCCTTCTACCCACATCCCTCTCTTGGTTGATGCTCCTCTCACTAGTTGTTGGCAATTCTCTATTTTCCTGCGGCGTTCGTTGTGCGGTGGGTCACCTCGCTCAAACCTTTTGCTCTCTTCCCACGCTATCTTGTCCTCCTACGTGATTGTTTCCCTCCTTCTTCTTCCTTCCCTGTTCTACTCCTTTGTTGCCATAAAGTGTCTTCTTGTGGTGACGGAGGGGTAGGACAGGGACAGCCGAAGAAGGATGGGAACGATGATGGAGAGGAGGACAATATGGCGTGGAAGAATAGCAAGAATGTGTGTGTTATTCGCAAATTGGAACTGGCCGCGCTTTCCAGCTGACCAACAGCAAGGAGCTCTCTCGTCTTAAATGAAGTAGGTGAAAAGAGGCACAGTTTGACCTTCGTTTGGTTCGTGTCTTTTTTTTCTCTAAGCCATTTCCTTTTTTTTTCTGGGGTGATGGCGAGGTTGATGTTTCAACATCGTCGTAACCGTTTCTACGGTAGTGTTTTTTGTCGAGGTGTTCTACCTAAGGTTCTACGACACCGTTGAGTTTTTGTTTATGTATTACACGGTTCAATCGTGTCTTTGGTTTTCATTATGACAAGGTTGATTCTCCATCGGCAACGTAACGTTTCGTTTATTCAGGTGTCCTACATTGCCTACACTGGGTTCCAGGGCTTGCTTGTTTTTTTTTTTGTTCATTTTACCTTCGTGTGTTTTTTTTTTCACGACGGCAAGACTTTTTATTCATCTTCCGTCTACAACGCAACGTTTCGTTTTTGTAGGTGTCCTACATGGGGTTCTGCGGCACGCTCGGGGCGGACTACATGCAGTACATGATCGCCGACGAGATCATCGTGCCGCGCGAGAGCCGTCGGTTCTACACGGAGAACATCCTGTACATGCCTCACTCCTACTTCGTCAACGACCACAAGCAGGTGAGAGGGGGGATGGGGGGGGCAAGAGTCTGGTCTCGAGAGAGAAAGGGGGCGGAAGGTGGAAGATGGCGAGAGAGAGGGGGGGGTTGGGGGGGGTACAGGGGTGATGGTGGGACTAGTGACACACGCCGAGTATTTAGCGTATTGGCGGCAGGTGGAAGTTGGCACTCCCGCCTTCCATCGCTCATGTGTGCTCATCCGTTGTTCAAATGTATGAAACAAAATGACGAACGGACGGACGAAAAAACATTGCAAACAATCGGTTAGGTAGTAGCAGCCGTAAAACTTTGCGTAGCAGCCACCCAGCAATTTCCATCCCTCATGCGTGCTCATCCGCCCTGCAATAGATCAGACGACGGACGGAAGGATACTTTGCGTAACCGCCCCCCCCTCCAAATCCTTTTTCCGCCGCGAAAAATCATGTGCGCCCATCCGCTCTATACAAAAACAATGAAACGGATGGATGCTTCGCTGTGAACAGTCGGCTAGGTACGTCCTGGATCGGACGCTCCTCCCTACTCGAGCCACGTACGGCGTGCCGGAGGACCGCTTCGTGCTGTGCAACTTCAACCAGCTCTACAAGATGGACCCGGCTATCTTCTCCACGTGGATGTCGGTGCTCAAGAGGGTTCCCAACGCGGTGCTGTGGCTGTTGAGGTTCCCTCCGGCGGGGGAAGCGAACATCAGGATGGAGGCCAGGAAGAGGGGCGTCAGGGAGGAGCAGGTGTGTTTTCGTGTGTGTGTCTTGTGCGTTTCGTGAAGGAGCATCGACCGCGCTAACCGGCTCACCAATGAAGAGACGTCCGTCTCGGTGCTATCAATCGACAACAGTGTACGCGTGTGTTTTTTTTATCATCCCATTTTACTCTGGATGCCGGTCCTTGCAGCAATGGATAGAGTTTCTGGACGAGCCAGGGTACGAAGCACGAAGAAGGTCACACGGGAGACGTGACGTATGTTTGAAGGAGTTAGAAACAGTATTGCTGCTGTTGGTGTTGTTGACGTCCTCGCCTCGACGTTTTCCGGCCAACTTTTCGACTCTCCCACGTGCACGCAGTTGGAGGCTACGAAGTTACGTCTGGGTGGTGGGTGGGGACCCATCGTTGAGTTGGGCCAGCTCCGTACCTGCCATCTTTGATTCACCTGTCATTTGTTCTCATCATGCCGTACAAGTACGTCGATCTTCGAAGGACCCACCTCTTGTCCAGAAAAGTAGGTCCAATAAATTATCACTAGCGATCGCAAAGCGTCGTGCGATTTTCTATCTCCTCTCTCTCCCCCCCACTGTCATTTCTCACCCGTCTTTTTCAAATATGTTGTATGCTACAGCTGCACTTCACAGACGTGGCTACGAAGGAGGAGCACATCAAGCGGGGTTACCTGGCCGACCTCTTTCTCGACACCCCGAGCTGTAACGCGCACACCACGGGCTGCGACATCCTGTGGAGCGGGTGAGACGGACAGACAGATCCTTTGAATTGCCACAATAGTAGTGGAATGCTTTTTGAGCAGGGTGTCCATCCGCACACAATTTATCTACATGTCGTCGTTTGGAGTTGAAGCCTGACAAGGACCTGCTGGGACCCGCACCAACCGGCGAAACAAACATACACATTAAAATCCTGTATTGTTGTTCACGTCTGTGCTTACTTTTTCACGCGTAGTGGTCGTGCCGTGCGAAGCGAGGGTACGTTCGATCGATTCATGCTTTCGTTACCAAGGAGAAGGATTTTCTTTTCCAGACGTTTGGTTTGACAGAAAAATTGTGCGTTTTTCATTTTTTTCCTCCCCATTTCCAGGAAACTGTTTTCCAGCACACGCACACACATTGGCCAGCCGGTTAGCGCGGTCGATAGTTCAGAAACAACACGCAAGCCCCGCCTGGTTCGAATTTCAAGCTGTACGAAAAAGAAACACCTTGGAGGCATCTCCTCAAAAAAGCAAAGAAAGAAAACCTGCGCGGCGAACCCCACCGTCTTGTTGGTCGAAACAACAAAATAAACGCCTTCCAGGACGCCAATGCTGACCATGGCCGGGTCGAAGATGGCGACGAGGGTAGCGCCGTCCCTGCTCAAGGCGGCGGGCGCGGAGGGCGCGGGTCTGATCGTGGAGAGCCTAGAGGAGTACGAGGAGAGGGCCGTGTCACTGGCCACGGACCCAGAAAAGCTTTTCGAGGTGTGTGTGTGTGTGTGTGTGCTTTTATTATTAGCATCGACCGCGCTAACCGGCTGACCGATGAAAAGACGTCAGTCTCAGTGCGGCGGGAAACACAAAATGTTGCTATAGTGTGTGTGTGTGTTATGTGTGTTTTTCATTAGCATGGCCCTAAATGTAACCGGCTGACCAATGAAAAGACGTCAGTCTCAGTGCGGCGGGAAACACAAAATGTTGCTATAGTGTGTGTGTGTGTGTTATGTGTGTTTTTCATTAGCATGGACCTAAATGTAACCGGCTGACCAATGGAAAGATGTCAGTCTCCGTGCGGCGGACAACTTCGCGTGTGAGTGCACTTGTCACTTTAAGTTCGAAGCCTCGGTCAGTAGCTTTCGTGTGGTTTGGATTCGCGTGGCGTGGGTAGGTACCCAGGTTCCCACAAGAGTGAAGCGTAGCAAAATATTGCTTCTGGAAGTACTTCATTTATCACAAACAAATGCTACACGTCCACTCTTCACCGGTAGTAGGTCAACACATGTCAACAATACATGCAAGCACGCTTCAACGGTAGCAAAGGCGTGGATTCAGCATCGTTTTCGCATACGATGTGGGTGTAAATCTTCGTCAATTGGCGCGTTTGGTGTTACAGTGTGGTGGGCCGATTGCCTACGGCTATGTAGTGCCGAGACCTTCTTTTGCTGTGTTGTTAACCCCCTCTAACGGGCTGTTGCAGAGCGATCAACGGGCTGTGTGGAGAGATTGTATTCCTACGCGTGTTTGTCTCTTCAGCATGTGCCTCCGGTACTCATCTCCCGGTCTTTTCTTTCTCACTACGAATCGAAAAAAATAGCGTTTCTCTGTCTGTACACCCGAAACACAACCGCACGTGCGTGCTACGTGTCCCATCCATCCCTGTTCATCACCCGCGCGCCCCCCACGCCACACCCGTCCCGGTCCTCTGTTGCCTCGCGGCTACCGCACGGTGCGGTTCGTTTGATACGGTATGGTGTGGTACGGTAGATCCGCAGCCGTCTGGAGGAGTCGAGACATTCGTGCCCGCTTTTTGACACGCAGCGGTGGGTTCGAAACATGGAGGTATGTGAGGCATGCCGTCTGGCGTATAACAGTGCAAGCAAGGTCTATTGTGCCACAAGCTTTCAGAAGGAGGGGAGAAAGAGAAGGGGGCGCTTTCGGTGTGCTACTATTGATGGTTTGTTGTGTTGTGCATTCCGCAGGACCCTTGAACCCGCCCTCTCTGCCCGGATCGTTTTTGGTCTCGCCATCTTCCTTTTCCCGTATGTCGTTGCCGTTCCCGCCTCCACCTCCCCCTTCCCTCGATGACACCCCTTAGAAGAGTTGTGAACCAACGACCGTGTTTGGGGGGGGACGCCAATATCGGCCGTCGGTTACAGTACCAACGCGTGCGTGCTTCTTTTTTTCACAACTAGCCAGTCCTTTAGCCCGCCGCCGACCACGCTCGCTGTTCTCTCCTTCGTGTTCTCGCCCTTCTCACCTCCTCCGATGCCTCCAAACGCACGGGACCGCGACGGATTTCAACCAATCCACCGCATGGCAACACGCGACCCCTGAGGGAACAGGCTGGCCTAGCGATGGCGCACGAGCGATTCCAGGCAGGACTTGACCCCGAAGACCTCAAGGTGGAGGACACCGTCGGCCCCACGCCGGTCACCACCCCGCCCCCGGCGGCGGAGCCCCCTTCCTCCGCCGGCGGCAATGTGAACGCCAACCATCCCGGCGGAGTGGCGTCCTCCTCTTCCCCGTCGCTAGAGGTCCCCTCTGCAACGGCAGCAGCAGGTGCTCCTGCTGCTACCGCCGACAGCGGTAGCGACAGCGGCGATGTCAAGGGCAGCGACGGCTCGCAGCCGGAAACCGCTGCGGCACCGGTAGACGACGGCGAAGCGGTGGCGGCGGCGGCGGCGGCGGCGGCGGCGGCGGCGGCGGCGGCGGCGACGACGATGGCAGCAGCGTCCGCCGAAGGACCGCCGACGACCGGTAGCGCCGCGGTTGGGGCGGCGCGGGAGGAGAGTTTGATCACCCCTGGGACGGTGCAGGGCGAAGCGGTGAAGGAGGAGGAGCGGCAGGAGGAAGGTGAGGGGGTCAGGAACAGCCGAAAGAGAAGGGCGAGTGACGAAGCAACTGCCAGCGACGAAGGCTAAAGGGACAGGCCATTCCCTACCAGCTTCAGTCTGTTCGCCCTGGACCAAACTCATGGCGGCGTCGCAGGAACACACGATATCATTTGCGAGGAGGGTACAGTGCTACTCGATTGGTGTCTGTGTTTGGCGCGGAGCAATGCGATGTTCGTTGCTACAGGCCCGCATATGGCGTGGGATTGGATGAAAGAGGGCATTTTGTTTTTCATTGCACGCGGCGTGCGGAGGGCAAAGACGACCTGCCTGGTTAGAATAGACTTGCCAGGGGGTCTTGCGTCTTGTGCGTGCTCGCTCGCGCGTTTTGTGTGTGTGTGTGTGTGCGTGCGTGCGTGTTTCTGTGCATCGCCGCCTGCGACGTGTGGGGGAGGATGGGGGCTGGCTTTATGGCTGGCTGGAGCGAGCGACACGTGTAGCGGTTCCGTTCCGTGAAAGTTACGGGATACGAGACGGGCGCCGTGTTGATGAAGTTTCCCATGCATCGTCTGCCATCAACTTGCGGTAGACATTGTTGTTGCACGTTGCTCCGGGATGTTTTTTTGTTATTTCACGGCCACGTATGTCGCATTCCATGAATACCGAGGTTGGCGGGGGGGGGGGGATTAAAGTCAGTGCTGTTGTTTTGTTCTGTTTTGTTGTCTTGTAGTTATTTGTCGGGAATTGGGACCTGCTGCAGCGGCATTCGCCTTGAGCGGTGTGTGAGAGCCGCCAGTTTGGCGTAGCTTTGTCAGTAATCTATGTATTTGATGTTCTTGGGAAGTGGGAAATATGCGATAAAAGTTATTGGTACGTTGTGTTGCAAGGATTTTGTGTCCCACTGGCTTGTACGTCCTGTCATCAAGAGTATTGTTGGCAGGGAATGTTGTCGCGGAGAAATGAGAAAATATCTCAACCGACAGGTTTCTGGACGGGGACAGGGCAAGAGAAAGCGCCAGAACTGACGGGCCGTTTGATGTCCCGTTTCCGCGGAGCCTCACAAGAACGGGTCGGGTTTGCCCGTGGCGGGGCTGTATACTGTAGGGTCCGCCGAACTCTGGAGGCACCGGGGGAAGGAGGGCACGGCTCTGAAGGATAGCTACAGTTCGACCGGGAACTGTAAGGCGTGGATTCGTGGGTTCGTCGCCCCCCAGAGTAATTCGAGCAACATACCGAGCGGCCCTTCCGGGAGTCGCTCCGCGTCTGACGCGCTGCACGCCCTGCTATTCGCGTCGGAAGCCTAACTTCGTGGGGCTACGTATATGTTCCGCCGACTGCAAGCAAAGAGAAAGAGCGCGATAAAACTGCTGTAGCTCGCTGTTCTGCTTACGCGTCCCCTACCGCGCTGGTTTTGGTTGCTGCAAATGTGCAGAAAACGTAGGGGAGCTAGCGCCGGCATTTAGACCTTTGACCCCCCCTAGTCGTACAATTGCATATAACGTAGTCTAGGCTATTCAATTTTCAAAGTTGTTATTTCCCCACGAGGCGACTGAGCTGTGAGGTTACGGAAGAGGAGGGACGGAGAGAGGGGGCCTCGCGGTTCGCGTGCGCTTGGGGGGTCGTTATTCACGGGGCGATGAACCATGTGAGATTCATTGCATTGTTGGAGGCAGGTGTTGTTTCAATCAAGGNGGGGGGGGGGGGGGGGGGGGGGGGGGGGGGGGGGGGGGGGGGGGGGGGGGGGGGGGGGGGGGGGGTAATGTCGCATGTATGTGACCCTACCGCGGGCAGGCGTTCGAGACAGACAGGCCGGATAGCAGGCTTGCGCATGCCAAGCGTTCGCCTTGATGCCCGTGCTGAAATTTTTCAGCGACGAGCAGCACCTTCAGGGAGCCAAAGCTGCTCCTCTGCCCCGTGTACATTGCGGGTGGTGGCAAGCGCACTAGAAAGTCTACCGGGTGGTGGGGGGCTGCGTGCTATGTGAATGGCATCATGATAATGTTGTTCGAGACGGGTTTTGTTTGCAGGAAGAACATCAGAAGACATATTCTACGGGTGTCGTGCGCCAGCGCGGAAAAGAGGACTGTTATAATCTCTTGGAGGGGCGGGGTCTTCGTCGCAGACCCCTCGGTGCCGACGCCGGACAACGAAGCGTCTGCGTTGCCGTCGCTGGTGCCACGACCTGTTGTTGCTTCTTCAGCAAGTCGTGGCATATGGGTTATCGTGCCCGCACCAAGGGTCCATACGGTGACCCCATATGAGTGACGTCCCTGTTGCTCTGACATTGATGCAATACTCTTGTGCTGAACCTTCGCCCCAAACGGCAAAGAAAAAGCAGGCACACAAAACGCGGTAGACTGAGACTGGTTAATTTTTGGCTTTCGAGGACGGCTCTCTGCTTCGCTGCTTGGAGTAAATTGTCGTGTTGGGTCGTTTTTTATAGTGACGGGAACTTCGCCACGTCTTCTCTTGTCTGCTCTAGTCTAGACCTATCTGTGTAGTGTTTTCATTTCACGACTTTTCGCTTAGCGAGCAACCGCTCGAACACTCCCAATCCCCATTGCCTCATTGCTACATGCATCCGTGCGGAGATGCCTATGTCCATCCATCGGTAATGAACACACATGTACAATGGCGCGGAAAAAATATAGCGTACGTTCACGCGCTTTTTGGTACTGTTGGCCTTCGTGGAACGGGTACTATGAAACAAGTAATCTGCAAAGGGTGTGCGTTACGGTTGCACCACACAGTGAGGAAAATGTTGAATGTTTACCGTTGTGAGGAGAACCGGATACGGGGAGACAGTGGTGGCAGAGCGCGACAGTGTGCCGTATGCACACGAGCGCTTCCTAGAAAGTTCCAAGAAAGTTGGGGCGGAACGCCGCGTGACAATGACTCTTTGCATCGTTTCAGGGCCGGATTTTTCCACGTTCGGCGCCAGCACGTGATGGGAAGGAACAGGAATGTCACGGCGACATCGCACTAAAAAGCAGGGGTTAAACGTGAGCTGTTACAGGGTTTTGTTTACCGGCGCCAGGCGTTGAATAACTTGGATGGACGAATAATTCGGTTCCATCTTGTGTCCGGACCCACCGATACTCCATGAGGTATCATAGCAGTAATCCTACCCAACGGTCATAATATCGCTGTCTCGTCGAACACAGCTAGAGTGACGGGCGAATGCTCTGAGATGGTGAGATGAGCGAACTGAAATGTTTCGGCGCTTTCATCGAGGGGTTGCAGTAGAGCATCCTCACTAGCAACTTAAGCCGAGTGTCCACCTTCATTAACATGTCAATTTTCTCTGAACCACCAGGTGCACCCGCGACGCGTACAACATATGACGAGATGTTCTCTGAGTGGTCATAGACTACGCCGCTAAACGCAACTAGACTCCTCCCACAACGGCACAAGAGCGCCTCCTCTACCTGAGCAAAGTGACTATCTCAAAGCCCTCTGCCCCACTCAACACGTTACGCAGCCCTTGTTCGGACAAGGACGGGGTCTGCACAGCACTCGCAGCCTCCACCCTTGGTTTGCGGCACAAACGTTTATTCTCTCTGGCAATCACAACGAATTCCGCGCCAATGAATAACACCCCGAAGCCCAAAATCACCCCCCACAGACGAGGGTCGTCATCTTCGTTGGCCACGAATACGCCGAAGACAGTGAGACACGCCACGCTGGCTGCACCTACCCACGTCTTCACGTCTTGATACCATGGTGTCCCCGAAACCTGGACATCATACCATGGCAGGAGGAAGTTTATCGGCTCATGCACGCAAAGGAGGCGAATATCGGACGATGTTTGTCGCTACCGTTCGATTTTTTATCGGAGGGAAGATCAACAGACGTGAGGTACGGAAGCGAAGCACAAAATTCGGGGGCGAAGCCCAAGAGAGACGACGCAATGCTCGAGAATCAACGAGAAACTCGCGAGCGAAGCCGATGCAATCTGGAAACCGTGGAACGCGGACTATCAAGGCCATCATTTGGCTGAAGTGACTGACATTCACACAATTTCGGCCATGTTTTTCTTAATTATAAATATGCCAATTCAGATAATACTATTAGAAGTTAAATCAACCGGTCAGCCACTCAAATTTCGGCTCATCGATCGCAACTTGACAATTGCTTGTACCCTAGCTAACGTTGTGACAATTTCGAACGTGGCTGGGCAGACTGCCTTGTGTAGGTGCGCGGCTGCTCGAACCACTTTGCACAGGTGCTTGGTTGCTCAATCTGACCTGGGAAGGCGCTTGGTGGCATCAGGGGCCGGATCAGAAACCTCAACCTGTATGACACTAACAACCGAGTTGTGAGACATGCAAAACAATAATATTCCCGGAGGCCTGGCAATCCGGCATTTTCAATGCGAGCAGGTCAAGCCGCATCATGGCCCTAGACAAATTCCTTCGTACGACCCTGGAAGGCCCGTCTCTGTAGACTGCATCGTCTGTACATTTTGCCAACTGCCTGTGGTAAGAACGCCACCTCGTAGTTCATCCCAGGCCATAACGCACAGCCCTGACGAGTCACCTTCTCGGCATTCTCGGCAAACTGCTCCTGGAGAGGTCCATCGAGGAACTTCTCGTCGGAGAATTCCACAACCTGAAGAGCAGTCAATACCCGCCTCACGATTCTGGCAGAGTTGACAAAAGTAGCTCTCCTCGACCAGGCCGGTTCCCGGCCGTGGCTGTCAACATGAGAGCGCGTACGGGCGAGTGACATCAAAAGCGGAAGTATCCTTGCATCTGTGGTGCCGAAGCACCCGTCTTCAACCTGAATAATGAGTCAAAGCAATAGTCTACAGCGATGAGTGGCAGTGCTGATTGGCCAGCACAAAATTGGTCTAGGCAAAACAACATTTGATTTGATGGCACTCAGTTGGACTGTCGATATGCTGATCATGGAGCTACAAGAGTAGGCTTGGTCATGGAGCTGTGGGCAGAAGAACATCACCTCGCATTGTAGACCAGGGAACTCCGAGAGCATTTTGATGGTGACGGAGAGGAATTTCGACAGAGCCGCCCATGGATGCACCTCCTCACATCCTCCGAACACCTCTGTTGCCAGGATCTTGTCCACCTAACAGCTGGTGTTGGTTGCTGCACAACGCGCAACAAAGGTAGAGAGCTAGCGCCGGTAGGTAGGCGTTTGACCCCCCTAGTCGTAGAATTGGATAAAGCGTAGTATAGGCTATATATTTTTCAGCGTTGTTATTTCCCCACGAGGCGACCGGGCTGTGAGGTTACGGAAGAGGAGGCACGGAGAGAGGGCCCGCGCGGTTCGCGTGCACTTGGGGTGTTACATTCATTTAGAGCTGTGAGCCATGTTCCAGAGATTCATTGAATTGTTGGAGGTGGGTGTTGTTTTTGTCAAGGGGGCGGGAATGGCGTAATGTCGCATGTACGGGAGCCTACGGCGGGCAGGCATACATACGAGACAGACAGGCCACATAATAGCAGGCTTGCGCATGCATGCCAAGGGTTCGCATGGATGCCCGTGCTGAAAGTCTTCAGCACCGAGCAGCAGCTTCAGGGAGTCGATGCTGCTCCTGTGCCCGGTGTACGTTGCGACGGTAGCGAGCGCACTAGGAGGTCTCCCCGGTGGGGCTGTGTGCTATGTGAACGGCATCATTATTACAATGTTGTTCCAGACGTGTTCTATTTGTACAGCAGTAGGAGGAACATATCAGAGGACGTAATCTTCGGGTGTAGTGCGCGGGCGCTTAGGAAAGGACTATTATTTCTCTTGGAGGACGTTCTTCTTCACCGGAAACCCCTCGGTGCGGACGCCGGAGAATGAAGCATCTGCGTTGCCGTTGCTGGTGGCGCGACCTGTCGCTTGTTCAGCAAAAAAACGTGGCATGCGGGTTGTGCCCGCACGAAGGGTCGATATGATGACCCCGTATGGGTGACGTCCCTGTTGTCTCAGAGTGACGACATGCATGCAATAGCCTGATGATGCTGAACCTTCGACCCAAACGACAAGAAAGTCACGCACTCACAACACGGTCAGACCGAGCCTGGTTCAGTTTGGCTTCTGAGGACGACTCTATTCGATAAAGTTACACCATTAGACCAGTCAGCTGACTGGTCTAATGGTGTAGCTCTTTATCGAATAAAAGATATGCTCAGAGCTCATTTGCACCCGGCTGGATCACTTGGGTCTCTATGGCTTGGATCTCCGGGGACGGACCCCTTGCCAGGCGCTGCAGGAAAAGAACTAAGGGAGCTTGTGAAAGTGGCCATCTGGGATCCGAACCCGTGCGTGTACCACTTGTTAGTATAACCTTACCCCATTAGACTACTGACTCGTCTGATGGTGTAACTTTATCGAATAAAGGTNTCGATAAAGTTACACCATTAGACCAGTCAGCTGACTGGTCTAATGGTGTAGCTCTTTATCGAATAAAAGATATGCTCAGAGCTCATTTGCACCCGGCTGGATCACTTGGGTCTCTATGGCTTGGATCTCCGGGGACGGACCCCTTGCCAGGCGCTGCAGGAAAAGAACTAAGGGAGCTTGTGAAAGTGGCCATCTGGGATCCGAACCCGTGCGTGTACCACTTGTTAGTATAACCTTACCCCATTAGACTACTGACTCGTCTGATGGTGTAACTTTATCGAATAAAGGTTACCCGCACGAGTTCAAACACCGGCTGGATCACTTTACTTTGGAAAAAAAGTGCACCTAGAACTATCAGCGTTAGGCGAGGGGTCCGTACCCGGAGATCCAAGCCATACAGACCCAAGTGATCCAGCCGGGTGCAAATGAGCTCTGAGCATATCTTTTATTCGATAAAGTTACACCATTAGACCAGTCAGCGCTGACTGGTCTAATGGTGCAACTTTATCGAATAGACTCTCTGCTTCATGTCTTGCTTGGATTTATAGCTATGACGTGTTGTTTTTCAAAGTGCCCGGAACTTCGCCACTTGTGTCTGTGGACCGACATCTGTGTAGTCTATTAACACAACGAGCAACCGCTTGAACCACTCCAAATTACCACCACATGATTCTTACATGTAGTGTAGCAGATATCCCATGTCCATCCATCGGCAAGTGAACAAACATACATGTACAAGGCACGAATACAAGAAGAGTGCCGTCACACGTTTTTGGGGCAGTCGGCTTGAAGGTGTCCGCGTCCGTGGAACCAGTACCAAATATTGTAGGTACTGAACGGAGACCTGCGTCGAACGCCGCGGTGTAGTCGATGCTGCTACATGTATGTATCGAGGTCTACATGGAAGGGGTACTCCATAAAAACAAGGAATCTGCTGAGGGTGTGCGCTACGGTTGTACCACACGGTGAGGGAAACGTAAACGTTGTGAGGAGAACCGGAGATGGGAGACAGTGGTGGGAGGGCGAGACTGTGTGTTGCCGTAGACGTGTGCCCCATTATAGAGAGTTGGGGGGCGCCGCCGTGTGGCAGACCCTCTGCATCGTTTTGGGGCCGGGTTTCTACCACGTTCGGCGTCAGGCCGCCATGGTAGTGAGCAGAAATGTCACGGAAACATCCTACGAAAGAAAAAGAAACAAATAAAAGTCAAAAGATAATTTGCGAGTTTTGGTTTCCGGTGTTGGTAAACTTCCTTTCTTCCCCTCGCTGCCTCGGCAAGGTTTTGCGTAGGCATGACCCATAGCGAGGGGTCTTTCTAGCGAGCAGGGCTAGACTCACCCTCAGGAGACCGATCGATACCTTCTTGCTGCGGCGCACCCGCCGCGAGGCGTGCGTAGTGGTGGAGTTGGGTCGGCACTGGTGCTTCAGGTACAAAGGTGCAGATGCGCGGGCCTCCAGGCCGTCGGTGTAGGCAGCAATGCCCATCTCATCTTTGTGCGCGGAGGCAGACGTCATCAGAAAGGTGGGCGAGCACTATGTACACGGCCCTAGGTTTGCTAGACTAGAGGGGGCTGTACTGTCTCAGTAACCTGGTTTTGCCATCATCAAACGAGGAGGGGACAGGTGGTGACGAGCTGATTGGAGCAACGAGAGCGTGTACGAAGCGGAGCGGGTCGAGTTTGGTCGTGCTAGGACTGGCCACAGCGGCACCGGAGCAGCGGCACCGGAGCAGCGGAACCGGAGCAGGCGGACGGCATCGAACCGTGGCGCACGGACAAACATCTCTTGGATTGTCAATTATTTTTCCATTTTTTTTTCCTGAATACAGGTGTTGGGTGTGTGTAATGACGTCACTGGTTTTGTAGAGAGACGCGGCAGAGATGGTGCGGATAACCCGCGGANGAACCGGAGCAGGCGGACGGCATCGAACCGTGGCGCACGGACAAACATCTACTGTATTGTCAATTATTTTTCCATTTTTTTTTCCTGAATACAGGTGTTGGGTGTGTGTAATGACGTCACTGGTTTTGTAGAGAGACGCGGCAGAGATGGTGCGGATAACCCGCGGATGCCTTAATTGTGTACCTGCATCGTGGAAGACCCCTTCAATGTGGAACGATTCCTAGTCAGTGTCGATGTTTAAACTGCTGTGCCTAACACAGATGATCTGGATAGATTCGGGTGATTGTCAATTAATTGCAATGATGGCTTTGGTTGGGCGTTCTTCTGCATTGTATGTCCACAGACTCATTCTGACAGCACTTCAGACAGCAGCTCCATACCCCGAGCTTGTGTACCATGCACCATGGTGTTGTTTTTGTACAGACAGCACTTCAGACAGCAGTACGCTGTAGTCGACAAACATTCATATTGGTTAAATGCGGGACAAGGGGGGTGACGCTGCTGCTGTAGTCGATTTGTAGTGTGTGGGCGTGTAGTTCAGTTGTGAGCACGCAAACGTGCTGCAGGGATTGCAGGCGTACCTCCTCGGGCTTGCGTACCCTTCCCTTGCTAATAGTGTGTGTGTTCTTTTGATCTTCTGATGGCTCTATAATAGCATTTTTGTGACCACGGACCGAGTCTTTGCTAGATTTTGGGATTAGCAACTGACACGAGTTTAATGTGAAGAAAACAACAACAACAACAACAACAACAACAACAACAAACTCGTGGCTTCTGGGGAAAAGATGTATTGATGAGACCTTGGACCAGGAGAACAGGTCAAAAGGTGGAGTGAGCAAGGGTGGGGCTAGCACCGCAGCACCGCAGCACCACCCATGTCGCTCGACCAACGCACAAAAACAGAACACAACAATAATATCGGAACACAAAGACTCAACAGGGCTAACGTACTTCCCAACGTACCATGAATCCTCGGGCCGATGCACTATCAATAACAAACACACTCGCTGCAATGCACCATCCACGAGGAACAATGCCTGGTCGGCGGGAACCCGGCACGGAACCCTCCGGCGTTGTAGGCGGGTGTGGGAAGCGTTCCCCGTTCTCCTTTTATTTTATTTTGATCGGTCTCCTCGACGCTCTTTCTCATTTGGTGCGGTAGCTGGTCTTTCTTTCTATCATTTTGTTTCTCTTCCGAGTGGTTTTTGTACCCTATTTTTTTCTGTTTCTTCGTGGGGTCGTGTATGCCGGGTTTTGAGACCACGGGCTCCCAATCTTTCTTTTTTAGAGCTAATGTGAGAAACAACAACAACAACAACTCCTACAGAACGTTCCTCGCTGTTCTGATAATATGTGGCTACTCAGCGATCTGCAACGTCGACAGTCCCGCGATTCAAACTGTCCAATCAAATTGTTCTACGTTACTCTGTCGACATTCACAGCAGCAACTTTCACGAACATGCGGGATCAGCTGTTACCGCTTTCATCAAAGCCTAGAACATGGATGGACTAACACTTCGGTACCATCTTGTGTCCGGACCCACCGATTCTCCGCGAGACATCACGACAGCAGTAGTCCCACCCACGGTAACAATGAATGTCAGTGATCTCCTCGAACGCAGGAAGAGTGACGGGCGAATTATCTGAGATGGTGAAAAAGGCCAACTGAAATATTTCGGCGCTTTGATCAAGGGGTTGCAGGAGTACCTCCTCACTAACCACACTCAAGCCGAGAGCTCCCCCTAATCAAGTGTCTAATTGTCTCTGAACCACCAGGTGCACGCCGTTACACGAAACTAGACTCCCCCCACAACGGAACTAGAGCTCCTCCCGTACCCTGAGCGAAGCGAAAATATCCCAGAGCCCTCTGCCTCTGCCAACACGTTACGTAGCCCTTGTTCGGACAAGGATGGGGTCTACACAGCACTCGCCGCGTCCACCCTTGGTTTCCAGCACAAAGTTTGTACTCTCTGGCAATCAAAGCGAACTCCGAGCCAATAAGCAACATGCCGAAGCCCAGAAACATCGCAATTATACGTCTTGCCAAACTATATTGTACCTACATCTTAAGAAGCCAAATCAAACCGTTAGACTTCGGCTTATCGATCGCAACTTGAATATTGCTTGTACCCATGCAAATGTTGTGACAACTTTGAACTACCTGGCTGGTCGGACTACTCTGTGTAGGTGCTTGGCTGCTTGAACCGGTCTGTAAAGGTGCTTGGTTGCTCGATCTGGTCTGAGCAGGTGCTTGGTTGCTCAAACTGGTACCGGAAGGGGCCGTACCAGAAACCTCAACCTGTATGAAGTTAGCAACTCAGTTGTGAGACAAGCAAGAACATCATTCCCGGAGGCCTGAGCAGACAATTTCAATGCTTTCAGGCCAAGCCACATCATGACCTGGATGAACGCCTTCGCACGACCCTGGAAGGCCTGTCTATAGAATGCATCGCTTGTCGTTGTGCCAACTGCCTGTGGTGAAAGATGATCGATGATTCGGGTGGCTCAGTTGTGTGCGATGGGAGTGTAGAGCAGCTCGGCCATGAAGGGCCGTAGGGGTACGTGAAGTCGTACAGACGTGTGGAAAAGCGTGTTGTATCCGTGTTGTCGTGTTGTATTAATCGGGGGCGTGCTCGTGCTGGTCAAACAATCACGGGNTGTGCGATGGGAGTGTAGAGCAGCTCGGCCATGAAGGGCCGTAGGGGTACGTGAAGTCGTACAGACGTGTGGAAAAGCGTGTTGTATCCGTGTTGTCGTGTTGTATTAATCGGGGGCGTGCTCGTGCTGGTCAAACAATCACGGGTCGAGTCACGCCTTCATGCTTTCTCACACAACGAATCTCTCTGAATCCTCACCAAAAGCCTCTCACAACCAAGGAAAATATGTAGAAAGTTCCTGTTCCTCCGCATCTCATCACTGCAATATTCGTACGTACGTANAAAGTATCCAAATAGCATACCAACACACGCCTATCACTCTCGCTCTCTTCTGAAAATTCTCAACTCAAACTCTTTTCATCCAGAAAAATATGACGAAGGCCGTTCGTTCGAAGACGCCTTTCCGTTCACCACCAATTCGTCACAATATCTCGGTGCGTCTCTAAATCCGCCTAGCTAGATATCCTACCATTACCAAGATGTATGCAATCTTTAGACAAATTGTTCCATTAATCCACCAAACCTTCGTCCGCAGGTAAAACGCGAAGAAGTAATATCTCCCTGAAATAC